ACCACAGCCTCAGCTGCTTCCTGAACACCACCATGTCCCTGACGCCCATTTCAGAGGCAGTGGCACGGCCAGGGTTCTCTGTGGAGGAAGATGAGAACAAGTATCCAGGGGAGGCTGGGTGCGGTGGCTCACGCCTGTAATCCCAGCACTTTGGGAGGGAGGCACAGGTAGGTGGATCATCTGAGGTCAGGAATTCGAGACCAGCCTGGCCAACATGGTGAAACCTCCTCTTTTAGTAAATACAAAAATCAGCCAGGCGTGGTGGTGCATGCCTGTAATCCCAGCTACTTGGGAGCCTGAGGCAGGAGAATCCCTTGAACTGGGGAGGCAGAGGTTACAGTGAGCTGAGGTCTACCACTGCACTCCAGCCTGGGTGACAGAGCAAGACTCAGCCTCAAAAAAAAAAAAAAAAAAAAAAAAAAAAAAAAAAAAATCCAGGGGAGCCCACAGGTGTGTCTGCTACCGATGAGCCCCCAGGTGAGCCCCCAGCCCGTGGACACCCTTGCTTGCGGGCAGCAGAGACAGCTGCAGCCAGGCCGATGGGGCTGGCCAGCGTTCCTGGACACCCCCGACCTCCCGAGGACCCTATGCAGTTCTGTCCTGGAGTTACAATGGTCCCTCCGCTGGGCCTTCGAGGTCCAGGTTGGGGATGAAAAAGTGGCAGGGAGTGGCCTGAGGCTCTTGCCAGAGCCCCACAATTTTGGTCAGAGTTCGCGATTTCCAAAGGTTCCGGCACGGGACTGGGCACCTGTGTGGCCCCATGGAAGGTGTTTAAAGACCCAGAGTCACCAGTTTGGGCTGACGGCTTTCTTACTGCACATGACCGGGTCATCTCTCTTCTTTCTGTTAAGCAAAAGCCCTAACAGTTTCAAGAACTGGATAGGAAGGGCCGACCTCCAGGTGACGAAAGCAACGTGGACCGTGGGGGTCAGGCTGAGTGTGTCTGGCCTGCACTGTGAACGGCCACCGGCTGTGGGAGGTCCTGACATGCCCCAATACTGCAAACTGGGGACATCAGAAGCTCATTCTCAGTTCTAGAGGTCTGGACTTGGAAGTCCAGACTCCGGGTGTTGCAGGGTTGCGCTCCTCCGAGGGCGCTGAAGGAGGCTCTTTCCTGTCTCTTCCAGCCGCGGGCGGTGCTGGTAGGTCTGGGTGTTCTGAGGCTGGGGCTGTAGCTCTCCCACCACTGTCCGCCACTCCTGAGGCCTTGTCTGCTGTGGCCGGCCCTCCTCCTCTCAGCAGTCATTGGATCTAGGACCTTATTTTGTCTTTGGATTTGTTTTTTTGAGATAGGGTCTCACTCTGTCGCTCAGCCTGGAGGGCCGTGGCACAATCATGGCTCACTCCAGCCTCGACCTCCTGGGCTCAAGCGATCCTCCTACCTCAGCCTCCCGAGTAGCTGGGATGAGTGTGCAGCACGACACCCAGCTAACTTGCTTTTATTTATTGTAGAGTCAGGGTCTTTCTATGCTGCCTGGGCTGGTCTCAAACTCCTGGGCTCAAGTATCCTCCCAGCTTGATTTCCCAAAGTGCTGGGGTTACAGGTGTGAGCCGCTGCGCCCAGACACCCGATTCCACCCACGGTCTGGGGTTACAGGTTCAGGTGGAACGACATTTTGGGGACACTGTTCAGCCCTGCACAGTCAGCTTCCCCCGATCTGCCCCTGCCAGGGTCAGACCTCCCCAGCACTCTCCCTTCCCCATGGGGGCCTGATCCCTGCTCATGGCCAAAACGTCCTGGGGTGCCTGGCTTCACACACTCTGCAGCCCCAGGAGCACTTGCCAGCAGCCCTGCGGGGCTCCACTGGGTACTCTGACTTGTACTCACCCTTCCACCTCCGTCACGTGACCAGGGGCAGGGGCGTGACACCTCCACCTTCCCACTCCCACACCCACTGCCCACTTCACCGCCCACTTCATTTGGACTTCGTGTAGCGGCTGAGAGCCCCTACGTTTTCTCCAGGAATGTCTTCCAGCCTCAGGGCCAGCTTCGTCCAGGCCTCGACCTGAAGATGATCACACGCCTCCTTCAAAGCCCTCCCCATCAGTGCCGATCAACAAAGCAATTCCAGAATGTCCCAACCCTCAGGGGTGTGGTGGGGCGGAGAGCTTGGGGGGGATGCAAACCCTTGGTAATGACCTTGGTGTGAACCTGTGTGTCCACAAGGCAGCCAGAGCAGGGAGGGGAAGGTGTCCACGTTTAGTTGATTTGTTGTTTTATCCAGAATGGTGATCTGTGAAGTCTGGAAGAAATTCTGAGTCGTCACAGAGAGTGTGGGTGCTCTGGGACTGCAGGCTGTCTGTTGCTGTCACTTTTGTTTTGTTTTGTTTTGAGACAGAGTCTCACTCTGTTGCCCAGGCTGGAGTGCAGTGGCACAATCTCTGCTCACTGCAACCTCTGCCTCCCAGGTTCAAGTGATTCTCCTGCCTCAGCCTTCCGCTAGCTGGGATTACA